TTTATTATACTTATTTATAAATTTATAGCCGACAAGACCCACTCAGACAATTTCAAGTATGATACAAATGGCCCTCTATTTGAGAAAGTCGTTTTAGGAAGCGTATTGTTAATAATTTAAAATAAGTACTATTTAGAATTTAGCTTTTATGGTCAAATAGTAGAAACTTACATCAAAGTGAATACTAGCACCTTTAAATGTCCTTACTGAAGAATTGAGCAAATTACATTAAATTAATCGTTTTATGTGAAAATTATATGACTTATTATACATTTTAGACTCTCATAAATGGTATATTTACACTGCTCTTCAATAAATATTCTAATTTTCTTGCTTCAAAAATTTCCCAAGGCGCAACTCCAAACCGCGGCCATTTCCTTTACTTCGTTCCCTCTAGTATGCATGGCTGCAACGTTGATCACCGCTACGTTAGGTCTTGGAAGTGTCAGGTTTCAGTCGGAGAGCTTTATAGATGGATATTAGCAAAATTATCTGATAAAGATATTAAGAGGGCATTGCATAAATATAGGGATCTTATGCCCAGACAATCTGACTGGAATAGGAAGCTTACTCAAGCAACTAACATGCCCGAACTGGGCTTTCGTTATCTCTACAGATGTGGGCAAATAGATGAAAGTAATCATCGAACAATGCAGAAAATGCTCAAATATATTGATAGACAAGATGTCCTGCCGTTCTTTGACACTATACTCTATAACACTAATCATGCAAATTGCTCGCTGGACGAGCTCAGAAAAGGTTTTTCATTCATACCTAATTTACCTTTAGTTCTTATCGATAAGGTTGATGCATTTCTGCGTTATTCAACGGCTCTCTCAGAAGAAGAAGTCCACCCGGATCCTCCATATGAGATTAGTCAATGTCAACCTCTAGAAAGTCTCAGAATCACAAGGTTAGTCCTTTTCGCATGCATGTTTTTATATATTTGTACATATTTACTTATATAATGTCCAGTTGTCTACATCATAGTGATTTTTAATGCCTGCTGCTTTTGAATCTTATAAACATTTTGGTTCCTGATGTGTGTTTTTAATCCATTTTTATTGCATAGTTGGCATATTCTTTTATCTTTTATTCATAAAAATTTTATCTCTAGCTGCCGAGCAGTTCAGTCATTTAATTCACCCCTGTTTCGCATTTCTATCTGACATTTACTGAATAATAGAGCGTTATTAGCATTATATTAGTTTGTCTTTGGCCTTTTTATCTATAAGTCTAAAATTAGTCACAAAATAATTTATTATAACATCAAACTTCTAAAGGCTCTCCAACTATGTTTATTTAGGTCTATTCTATCTTTTAAGCGCATTTAGCATATGAGCGGA